AGTTTCCTTGTAAAAGTCACAAAAAAATTGAATTTTTGTATGGGAGCCATGCCTGTATGATACTTTAATGACGTGAAACTTTGCACAGACTATTTTTTACACAAAATAATAACATTACGACGAATATTTTGTATGGGAGGTACCCTTAATTTTGGTTGAAATTTCTCCAAACCCTACGAATGTTATTTTTTTGTGAAAAAATAACCTGTGCAAAGTTTCACACCATTAATATAGCATACAGACATGGCTCCCATACAAAGATCCAAATTTTTTGTGACTTTAGTTATGGAAAGTGTTTCAAAAATAATTTTTATGGCAAAATTAACGTCAGACATATTTTTTATAGTATTTTGTTAGAAAATAGAATACTTTCAAATGTCGTACAAATGGGTTCATCATGAAAGTGTGAAAAATCTTTTCTCGGGTACTTCTGCTATTAAATTAAAAAATATTTCGTTGCCAAAGTTGAAACATATTTTTTGGTTTCGAACTTTATGACGCTTGAAAGGCTTGAAAAATCGAACAAATATTATTTTGAACTTTCTTAATAAAATACGCAACTACCACAGTGCGGAAAAGTTCGTCTTACTCCCGTAAGACTTTTTATTTTGGATTCCACTTTGAAAAATATTTCGATTCCACTCACCATTTATTGAGTGGATAACGAATGGATTCGGGTGGAATTACGTTTCTCCGCAACTTTATTGGGTGGATAAAAGATGGAATAAATGAGTTTTACTTCAGTGTTATCTTGATTACTTTGGATCTAGATGAAACTTGTTGAAAAAAAGTTGGAGACACCCGCGGTACCAAATTGTTTTAGATTCCTTATAAAATTACCTTTCGAATGGTATATAAATTATGGAGTTTCCGGCATGTTTGCTGGCGTTTTACGCTGGCCGTTTAGCCGAAATATGAAAAATTGTGAGAAAAATCGGCTTCCGAATCTTATTGCAAGCAACCTAGTTCTATGATTTTGATGAAACTTTGCCAGATGATAGCTCTTGAAGCCCTCTTTCCAACGGTATATAGGTTATTAGCCAATCGAACTTGTGAATGTGTTTCCCAGGTGGCCGTTTGAGGCCAAATTAGTGAAAATATTGGCAAAGTCAACTTTCAAGGGGAAATTTATTGAAAATAAGTTGCAGTTACGTGAAGATAAAAATTGTTTTAGAATCTCCATAAAATTACCTTTTGAATGGTATATAAATTATAGGGTTAACCAACTTTTTGAAGTGGCAGTGCATAGGTAGCCGTTGAGGCAATGTGAGGAAAATATTGGCAAAGTCAATTTTCAAGGTGTAATTAATTTTAAAAAAATTGTAACTCTTCACTCAAAAATTCAAAATATTAATAGTACGGTTCCACGTTTCACATTAAGCTCTACGGCCAAAAACTGGCAGTGTATATTCATATATGCACATTGTGAGACGTTGCTGAATGCATTGACATTTCGTCTAAAACTGAGAATACCAAGAATACCAAGAATACCAAGAATACCTTCAATTTCGGTGAATATCTCAAGTAATATTCCATGTGTCTACCCCCTAGATGTGTTGTATTCATTTAAATTTACAAGAAAAATACGTGATCTTTATTATCTGAAGCGATTGAGACTCAACTATATTGAATGCCATTCAATGAATGGTGTATTCCATCGGCGAAAAATTCATTTATTAAACATGTCATCAAAAAAGAAGCAAACATAATTTAGTTAATTAAAAGTCGACTTGGAACTGGCTGCCATATATTTTGTACATTAACACATTTTTAAATTAGAAGTTATAGTGAATTGCTTTGTCAATACAATTTAACTGGAATCGCATGACGACGAACGAAGCAATAAGTCATTGCCAATTACTAAAGTTGGCATTGATTGCAAATAGGAAATAGAATATACCATATTTGCCACTTAAAATGTGCAAAAGTTCTTCAGTTCTTTAGATATACTTGCTCTTCGCGGTTGATTTTTCGTGTTTTGTGCAACTATCAAAGTGAATATTGTGCCAGAATACTTTCTTAGGTAAAATTTGCTATTATTTTACTTTTCCGCACACCTAGTGTGTAAGGAGAAAGTATTTGGTTTTGGAGAACAAATTTGATTTAGAATTTTACATTTCATTCAAATGGTTGTTTCTCTGTTCTTTATTTCACAGATTACAGGCCATGGATAATGTAGGAAGAAAACAACAGGCATCAAGTTCAAATGGAAGGGCATCGGCACCATCGGAATATATGTGTACATCGCTTAAACCCGATCAGCACAGCATTTATATGCACTGCGGAAGTGCGGGCAATTTTCTTGTAAATATCACTCTTTATTGTATTCGGGTGTGGCATTTGAAAAGTTATATAGATTAGGTGCGGGCCGAAGTTCTGCGGTGCCAATAACAGCTCTGTCGATCAGAAATAAAAGAAGATCCAGTTGTAAAATTTGCCCAGGCAACATTTTTTTTTATTAGCAGATAGCAGTATCACAATTATATGGAGACTCTAGTAACTTCAAATACCAACCCGCACAAGGAGTCAGTAAGTTATTTTCCGTTCATCAACGACGTCGATCCATGCGATTGACTTTGGTTGATTTTAAAAAGATTGATGTTTTCATTATCACACACAGTTGCACCTGGTCGAATAGCCAACTCTCCACCGGGCTTGGAGTATTTGACTCAAGTTAATCAGCTATTGTAAGTTTGATGTATCTACATTTTGGCGTTTTGAAAATTAATTAAAAAAAATGTTAATTTTCTTAAACAATTTGTTCCATTGCCAGAATCAAACAACAAGTTGAACTACAGCTTGGCAATAGATTCGTCATCAAAAATGCACAGAACCAAAATGTAATTAAACAAATGTTTGTATTGGTTTTTTAAAAGTGAAATGTAATTGATTGTCTTGAAAAGATTTATTGGGCCAAAGAAGACGCTAATTGTTTGGCAACCTTTTTTCTCGGCTCAGGTCGACCGTTTAATATGAAAATATTGGACAATCGCCATGTCGAAGTGTTGCATTTATATCGTCCAGCTGCCCTTGGATTCACCGATTCTATTGAAGTATCAACATCAAGTGGCCAAATTCTTGGAAGAATCCAGCAAAAATACACACTTGTTTATCCAAATTTTAAAGTGAAAAATCATAAGAATGAAACTATTTTACGCATAGTTGGTCCGGCGGTTAAAATGAGCTTGGGTGATGTTGTGTTTGAGGTATAATAACGATTTGTGTTTGGGTATTATTCAGGGAAGTCGTATTTTTGTTTTCTAAAAACTTCGTTTTGAACAGGTGCGGTCATTGAACGATAGAGAAGTTGGTAGAACTAGGGGCTCGGATAAATGGAAAATGTTGAGAATATTTTGAATATTTCTCATATTTACGTAATTATTTGTCATTATTCAGCTCGTATATGGCACCGATGTAAAACACACACAACACGAAATAAAATTAAAAAAGCCTAAAAAACTTATATTTCTTTGATAAAAAAATAATTTGACTGAAGAACATCAAAAATGTATAGGTAAAAGTGTTCTAAGTTTGTGTGATTTTATAAATAACATTCCACAAAATGACATAATATTATTGTTTAAACTCAAAATATATCAATATTTCTGATTATGTGTGTTTTTTCATCAATAAAAGATACTTCCGAGCCCCTAGTGGTAGAATATCAAAGAGATGGTCTGGATTGGCCCACGAAGTTTTCACGGAAGCCGACCATTTCGGTATCAGTTTCCCAATGGATTTGGATGTTCGAATTAAAGCCACATTACTCGGAGCTGTGTTCTTTTTGAAATTCCATTTTGGGTTTGATTTCTTGAACGATCTTCTTTTCTTTTCGGTTTTCTTTTTCTTCTTCAGAATCATATGTATTTCGAGTAATAGTAGGCGGTTTTTCTGACTACTGGTAACATAGTTTTTTGTGGACAAAATTGACAAGCGATATTAATTTATTACCGCAAAGAAAATGTTGAAACAAATACAGCCGAAAAATAATTTTGTTTTCGAAACGAAACGAATGAAATTTCATAATGTTCGAAGGTGTTTTGATCCAGATGGTTTTGACGATAAATTTAAACCGAAAACGTTACATTCATATTTCATAATCTTCTTCAAATTTTTTGTTTCCATGCGTACGTAAACCATGTTATTATTTA